AATGACAAAGGAGTCACCTGTCACAGCCAACACCGCCCTCAATCCACAACCTTTCTACCAGCGCCCCCTGCTGGCCTGGTGAGAGTCCAACATGTACAACCCTCAGCAGGCAAACATTACAGCCCAATGTATACTCAAATCCAATGCACTAAAAGAATGTGAACACATTCACGGTGGGTCACACCTACTCTGATTGACTCAGGTTCACCTTCATCCAATCAGAACAGGACCTAATGAATATTAAAACGTTTGACCAGTAGGGTAACATTATTAAATTAGCTCCACCCCAACCAAGCATAGTAAAATGCTACTTTACACATTAATCCACCAGTATTTGTTTTAGTATTGTCTTGTATTAGTGTCCTTTTGTGAAGCACTCTGGGCTCCTGCCAAGTTGTAAAGTGCTATATAAATAAACTTTTATTATTTATTAGTGTGATAAACCAACTGTATAACCTGCAGTGTAATAATATTTCAGTCACGTTTGAAGTTTCTCTGTTTTGTGTTCTTTTACTTTTGATACTTTACATTTTTCTGATAATATGAGTACTTCTTATGCTGGAGGTATTATGGTTTTGAGTTGTCCACCCGTCCGTCCATGAGTCTGAACTTCTTTAATCTGGCACGTGTCCACTTGGACTGAAGGATGAACTTATTAGATTTTGGTGGTCAAAGGTCGCAGTGACCTCACGTCTGTGCCCTTCCAGTGAGTCTGACTGGTTGGTGGATGCATACAACCATGAATCAGTAGTTCTAACTCTTAGGTAGCATTTTCCATGCAGGACCTTTGTGTGAATACGTCCTCCACCGCAGCAAAATGAAAATATTTAGGTTTATAACAGTTACTGTTGGTTCAGTAGTGGTTATTCACAAAGACACTTTATACTCCCCAGTTCAGCATGTAAATAAACAGCAAGGTTTATTTGGATATCTTAACAATGGAGCAACTAGATAATGTCTGGCAAAACAAATGAAACCATGCACTTCAGGAGAAACCAGAGAACACAGCAGTAACTCAAAGTGAAGCACTTGCAGCCTGTGATGAGACGTGTTTGGCTTAAAAATGAATGCTGCTGATATTCTGTGTGTTTTTCTTACTGTCAGCGAGTCCCATGTGCAGACTCACAAACAGTGCATGGTACCAACACGTCCTGTGTGTACCACAGCCCGATCTGTGTGTGTTTTTCTTACTGTCAGCGAGTCGCATGTGCAGACTCACAAACAGTGCACGGTACCGACACGTCCTGTGTGTACCACAGCCCAATCTAGGTCACAGAGCTCCACTGACATGTTGCTTCATCAAATGCTGCTGTAGATCCCTAGCGTATTAGTGGTTCTCCTGTTTGATTGTGACTTACTACACCTACTATGGTTTGCTAGCTAGCTAGCTAGCTAGCTAGCTATGCCTTCGTCCTGCAGGGGCATCTTGCCTACGTTCTCCCTTAATACATCCACAATGAGAAGAGGCAGCACGTTTCCCTGAGTGCATGTGGTTTCACCCTATTCACCTGACACACCGATGTTTCAGAGCAGAGAATACTCCTTATTTTTTCATGATTTTGAGAGCTGATTTTATGTACTTGGTGATTGTTTTAATCATTTAAATTTGGCTGGGTGGTTAATAACACATCTTCCCGTGGTGTGACAAACTCGGAGCACACATTTATTTCTACATTACCCTGACTTTTACTCAAACATGGACCAAGGTATTTAATGAAGCAACAAATGCAGCACACCTCACCTCAAGCTATTTTCTCAAATACAGTTTAGTGTTTTAGAGCAGGTGGGTTTTTCATTTAAACACAAATCATAACAAGAAAAGTTGAAACTACTACAAGATGTACACATGTTCAACCATTGTTTCTCATCTCCCACAAACACATCCACACAGTTATTAAATAAGGTAAAATACTTCTTCCATCCACAGGTGTCTTCCATTCTGGTCTTCAGCTAACACCACGCGAGCTGGTGCACTCAGCCTTGTGCTGTGATATATTTAGTTATGGAGGGCTACACAGCTTGTAGGCTTCGTTTTACCCCCCATAAAGGAACAGTTGGGACATTTTGGGGTTGCCATCGTCTCCAGAGTGAGATGAGAAGATTGAAGTCTGAGTGTCCAGCACAGTGACAGGCCCTGGGTTTAGAGCAGCTCAGCACAAAGACTGGAAGCTGCTGGTCTGGACTCAGGAGTGTTCACGTGTTTGTCCAAGATGGTGGCTCTCCACAATGTAGTCTGCTGCAATTGAAGGCTGCTTTATTTAGAATGAGCACACAATGCGAGTAACATTTACGTCAGATTATCTAGGGCTACGCTTCAGCTTTTTACAGCCACTGTTTGGAACAATGAAATGCCAGCTTTAGGTTAGGCGTTGGCTATGAGGCTAATGTGTCAGTCAACCTTTAACATGAATAACGTTATTGTATTTAGTGTGACCACACAATGCCAGTAACTTGCTAAGTAACTTTACAAGTGAAGTTAGGTGTAACTGCTGCTGGTGGTTGTTTTGAAGCCACTTTCTGACCTGACACTTCCGCACTCCTTTCTGCCAAGTAGGGGGGTGTCGTAGCGGTCAGAAATTCCCGATTTCTCTGAATCAGAACTACAAGTCGGAAGTTGACGTGAACAGTTGTTCCCACTCGGCTGCATGTTGTTACAGTTTAATTGACATGGTGTGAAGGCAGCATTTAAGTCCTGAACTCGGTCCTAGCTCTGCAGTCTGCTGAGCCCGGCTGACCCTCGGCTGGACTGATGATTAGCCTTTTAGCTAACAAGATACAACAAAACCAAGCGGCTCTGACCCCGGGGCCAAGACTGTTTTTCTCTTTAGGTGGACCCAGGCTCCAGGCTAACAGTTTCCCTGACCGTCAACATGCTGTATCTCCGTGATTCGGTCACATAACATTCTCTAAAAGCTGAAGAGGTTGCTTTGCTGCTCTGGTCAGACCAGTGGATGGTACTGGAAACACTGATTTCAAATGTTGGTTTTGCTCCAGGCAACCTTTAGATCAAGGTCAAAGTATTTATTGTCATATGCACAGTGAGGAAACATGTTTCCTTGTACAATGAAATTCTTACTTTGCCGTCCACATGAATGCCACACACTTTATATGATTATGGCCAAACCGTAGACAAGATGACAGACATACCTTTGAAGGTTTGCTGCTGCTTGATCAGAAGCCACGACCGGTTCGGTTTGATAATTTAATTGATTTTTTAGAGTTGTTTTCCCTAAGGTTTGCATAAGCAATGCTAGTAGGTGTGAGGAACATGGCCGCTGCATTTAAAGCCTCTGAGCCATAGTAGGACACAGTCAGTTCAGGACTTTTACTTAAGGAACCAGGAGCGTCTGAAATAACTTCTCCAACTTTGCAAATCTAATCTACTGTAGATAAAAATGGTGGAAAAGTGAGTCACTCCGATCCAAAAGAGACATAAAAAACCAAGCATGGGTGGAAATTTTAGAGATGACGGAGACAATAGGATAGAACATTGGTCTTCATTGTGGTGTGGTCCTTAGCATCCATGCTGCACTTTACATATCTATCATAAACTATTGGCTCTTGTGACTTTGGTGTGACACTGGCCTAACGTTCACAGCGCTGAGGTCAGAAATGGGCCTCAGTTTGCCCCGGGTTAGTCACTGTGCTAAGCTAAGCTAAACTTGTCCTGAACAAATCTCTGTACTGAACATGCAAATGTGAATTATATCAGTCTTCTCCTCTGAGTCTTGGTAGATGGCTAAAAGCTCAGTTCACAATATGTCCACTTGTTCCTTTATGCCCACCCCTGCTTTAAAGCTACACTCTGCAACATTCACTCTTACCAACCATAGATTGTCACTTAAACAGAGAAGTTTGATCAGTGAAAGAAAATCCCTGCACACGGGAGGTGATGGACTAATCTCAGGGGCGAACAGAGATAAGTGAGTGCTCCTGCTCTACTTTCCTCTGTTGACCAACTGAGCAGTTGCAGTATAAATGAATGCTTTCCAAACCGTTGCTCTTTCTGAAGCCGCCAACAAGCAGCGCTGCTGAATGCAGCTTTAAAGCAACCCCCTGAAAGACCAGCATAGCAAACAGCTGTTCCTCTCACATTTGATGAAATGATACAAATACCAGACCCTCGCTGACGTGACGCTCGCTTTCGGGAAAGGCTGATGTTCAAAGGCAGTCCAGGGACGACCGGTGTCCCATTTGGTACTGGGTGCGGGGGCAGTGCTGGGTGAGCGGACTCAGTTGAACACCTCCTTGTTGATCCACATGAGGGTCCGCGTCTCGTTGGGTTTGCACTCGTACTCGATGTTGCTGAACTTGTTGCCGAACTGGCAGTGCTCTCTCTTGTAGTAGTTGTAGTATTTTGCCTGCCACACTGTCTCAAACATGCCCGCCTTGTTAAACTGGACGGAAGAGAGGCAGAGAAATGTGTGACCAACACTGCAAAGTTAAAAAGTTACTCTCTAATTTAAGAGGTTCAGACAAAGAAATGCGTAAAGCTTTCTGTTGTCAAATTCTGTCACTGAGTGATGAGCCAGCTTTCTGACAGCCATCTGATGTCTCACAGAGATATTGTTGTCCTACCTCTATACTGACTTGGACAGGCTGCCGGTCTCCGCTCTTGGTGTGCGGGACGCCCTCGGTGTCGTACAGGCCGTGATAAACCACCGACTCCTCATCCTTGGACTGCTGCTCCAGAGGGAAGATGATGCCTCCGATGTTCATGTTGCTGGGAGCAAGAAAAGGTATCAAACATTTTGAAAGCAGCAGGACACTCGTACTGATCACTGTGTTGAAGGTTTGCAGCTCTGGGAGCCATCACTGGGGGTTGCTGGGTTTTCAAGGATGTTATAGGACACAGCTGTTGAATTTGTATTAAACCGCTGCACTGGGTGTCAGGTTTCTTCCTCAGGGAACACGGGAGGCCGTCTGTTTCCAACAAACAATATTACCTAATACTGTGTTAACTGTTATTGGTTTAGTTTAAATTATGGTCGTATTCCTTCAGCAGAGGAAACCTGGGCCCCTACCAGTTCACTGTGGAAATCAGCGCTTCCTGCCATGAGCCTCATAAAGGACAAAGCTAATGATGCATTTAGTTGGTTGTGGTTGATTTTAAAGGTAGACGTGTTGCCATTCCTTTACAGGTGTATTTTAACATATGAAAATACAGAAATTAAAATAAAGTTGTGCCAACATTCAAACCCAGGGGGTGCTTCAATTACAGAATGCACTTTTATAGCATGTAAACCCCTCTGCCCAGTAGATACTAGAAGATACCGCACAGCATAATGTTTATAGTGTAGCATAATAATATACTTATAGGCCAAACTAAAATATCAGTAGGACCATCATCACAACTCCTGAACTCCCTGAATATCTAAATCTTATTATAATGATCTATTTTATCATTTTATTTTACAACTTACTGTGTAGCTTTGCTATTTAAAGCACACATTTAACCTTATTTGCATGGGAGGAGCCAGCAGCTATGTCCCTGACCGGGAGTAAATAGGGAGCGCTGCCAACATTACCTAAATACAGAACCATGTGTCTCGTTTATACACAAATAAACGGTTTGATTCTTAATATCCAGGGGTTTATTTAGCTTGTTCTGTGTTTCAAATGTGCCACCCCTCTGTGAGTCTGTGTCCCAGCCTGGCCACCCCGTCCAAAATGTTCTAGATCTGCCCCTGCTTATTGTTGTATCTCTCCCGTTAGTTCATTCCCAGTGAGGCTGCACTGAGCTGGACCCCGTCTTGCTTTAACTGATCCACATGCGTCGCCCTCCTCCTCCTGTCAGCAGCAGCCATGAGATAACCACCACCCATGATTTATTCAGGGGACTCGGCTGCAGCAGCAGGAGGTGGAGGAGGAGGCCGCGGAGCCGCCACCGACCCACCGCACTTTATTTCCTGCTTAGGAACCTCTTATCACTAATTGGGCTACAGAAGTGCATTGTTTTGCTTCAAGTACTGGATGAAATAGAGGAACGCGCATGCTCCGTGTGCCTCCAGCTGCAGACACACCCGAATATCTGACGCTAGAAGGAAGAGAATAAGAGAAATGCTGATTTAAAAGCAGCTCGTTCTTACGTGGCCTCGACGTTTCCAGGCTTCACCACCACCTCGATCTTGTATTTGGAGCCTGTGAGCAGCTTGATGGTCCTGCTCTGTCCGAACCGGGTCCCGTCCACCTTAAAAAACACGGGCCCCTCGTTGGGCTGGATCCGCAGCGAGATGCAGATGTTGATGATCGGGGGAACGTCGTCCATTGCCCCGGGGTTCGTGGTCTGTTGGCCCGTTTGTGGTGCCTTAATGAGGGAGGGGGAGACGGGTGGTGCTGATGCTGAGGAGGGACCAGTGTCAAGCGGTGCGGAACAAGGCTTCCGGTTACACCTTTCAAAGTAAAAGTGAGGGCCAATGTATTAAGAGCAGGACCGCGGAAGCTTGAACGTTTCAGATTAATCGGTCACATCTACTAATGTCTGGATTTGTTCGTCCAACAGTCCAGAACTCAAAGATATTCCGTTTATAATCATTAGGAAAAGCAGAAAAACGTTCACATGTGAGAAAACGTTTGTAGCTTGGCCTAAAATGTTAAATAATTCATTATCAAAATGGCTTCTGATTCATTTTCTGTAGAGCTGTAACAGTTTTGATTGGTTTTATTTTATCGATTTGTTATTATTTTGATTATGGATTCGTATTTCAGTCGTTTCCCTGACACAAAATGAGCTGCCAACCAGGTTTTCAGCTTCTCAAATGTGAGAATGTGCTTCTTGTCCCTTAGCTGACTGGGGCTCAGGAGGTACAGCGGTCAATGTCCTCCCTGGTCCACATGTTGAAGTGTCCTTGGATAAGACACTGAACCCTAAGTTGCTCCCGATGGACAGTGTGTGTGTGTTTATGTGAGTTGGTGCTGCACATGGACACACAGGAGACAAGTTCCTTGTGTGTGTGACAAATGTGGCCAATAAAAGTCATTATCATTATCTTTGGGTGTTGGAAACTCTGGGAAATGGTGTCAACTCTGATACACAAAAGACTAAATGATCAGTTACTTCAGAGAATAAGTGCCAGAATAATAGATGAAGAAAAATATTCACTAATGAAAAGTGCTAAAATATGACTTGTGGACCACTGTACCTTAGTGATACATCGTTTTTCCTCCATTTCAGATGGAAATATTTTTTATTCCATATGACAGTTGTAAATACTTTATTACATTGAAAACACAATAAGCAACGACACGAACATTGTCTTCACTTCTTTCTCTTTGTGCTTCATTAGAGAGTGTGGGTGTATGTGAGGACCTGAGAAGACTGACCTGACTGACTCCGAACCTCTGCAGAGGCCCAAATCAAGGTGATCCTGTGTCTCGCCCTTCAAAACCTCTTATCACAATATGTTGTACAATAAATGGTGATTGGCACTGCAGTGATTCTCCCTGTGAATTAATTCTATACACGACAGATTTGGCGTTGTCGGCTCGGTAGGAGCGGATCAGCGAGGTCCGGCGCCTGGTAGCGGCTTCGTGGGCGCAGAGCCGGTTTTTCACAAGTTTCCCTTTTCATATATTGCTGAATGGCTCTCTCTGTGCCTGTGGAGCGCTGTGTTGAGTGCCGGTAGGTTTGTTTTAAGCCTAAACGCAACTCCTGATTGGCTCTCCTTCAAGTACCTGCGTGCATGAGAAAAATAAATAAATAAATAAAGTGGGAGAGAAAAAGAAAAGTAAAGAGGGCTGGAGATAGAATCACCAGGACTGACTTTGACTCTGTATATATGACTTACTAAGACTTGAGTATATGTGTGTGATTGTGTTGTGTATGGTTGATGCTCTAAGGAAAATAACAGAGGAATACAGCCTATTGGCATTGGACGAGATGAAACATAATTGATAGGCAATAGGATTGAACAGTGAACAGCATGAAATTATGAATTATAAAGTTGCCTGGATTGGATAAAAATATTGGTAGAGTTGAGGCTGTGTAGCAGAAGTCTGACCTGCATGTGGGTCTGCAGTAGGATCTGGCTTACATAACTCAACTAGGATTGGGAATTAAAAAGCTGTTGTTACAAGTTAGGATTGGCTTTGTAAACCATGTAGTAAGTTGTTGAAATTAGGAGTAACGTTTCTGCAGTGCAGGCAGACTTCTGCGCCCCTGCGGTTTAGGATTTGGCAGCAAAGTGATTAAGTTACTCCATTATTCTGAGATGAATAAAACTGAGAGTGACCACAGGGTTGTGTGTGAGGCTGGATTAAGTCAAGCATTTGATCGGTTTTGACAATTAATCTGGCAGGGTCCACGCGGTTTTTGTTGGCCAACTAGAGGGAAAAGCCCACGTACAAGCGCTTGTAGAATTTTAAATAAAAGTCCGGACTTAAAGTGTGTGTTTGAATGCAGGCCTGCGTGTGTGTGTGTGTGCGCTGAGACAAATTCAGGGTCAGATGTGAGAGTGCTCTCTGGTTGTGTATATAAGTTGCAAATTGCTCTATGTTTTCTCACATATAAAAAGTTTGCTTAAGACATGTATATTGTGTTATATTGAAGGTTTATACAAGGTAAAGATACACTGAAAATATACTGTATATACAGTGGGTACGGAAAGTATTCAGACCCCCTTAAATTTTTCACTCTTTGTTATATTGCAGCCATATGCTAAAATCATTTAAGTTCATTTTTTTCCTCATTAATGTACACACAGCACCCCATATTGACAGAAAAACACAGAATTTTTGACATTTTTGCAGATTTATTAAAAAAGAAAAACTGAAATATCACATGGTCATAAGTATTCAGACCCTTTGCT